AGTGAGAATAGAATAAAGTGATAAATAGATAATATTGAGGAAATGAATGAACTCTAGGCTAGGAGGTCATGCAACGTGGCGGGATGGAGGCAGATTGCATGAATTTCTTCGTTGTGGGAAGAATTCAATTTTTTTTTTTAATTATTATTATTATTATTAATCAAGAAACTGATGAAAAAAAATCATCTATTGGTCCTGGGGGGGGGATAAAAAAAATCGTTGACTGGTTAAGTGAAATAAAGTCATAAACTCATCTCCGCTTAATAGATTAATGAATACGTAAAACACAGATGAGTAAACAAAAGATGCCTATAGGTGAGTAAATAAATAAAATTTTAAAATGCGGAAAAACGGAACTCATGAATAAAATAGATAAGATAAGAATTACGGATAACAGAGAGCTTATGAATAAATAAAAATAGATAAAGAAAAACACGGGGAGGAAACAGGGCTCGTGAATTAAGTAAAACAAAAGAAATACGGAAACACAGGGCTTATGAATAATAGAAATAAAGAAAATACAGAAAACAGCGCTTATGAATAATAGAAATAAAGAAAATACGGAAAACAGGGCTTATGAATAATAGAAATAAAAGAAAATACGGAAAAACAGGGCTTATGAATAATAGAATTAAAAGAAAACACGGAAAACAGGGCTTCGAAACGATCCGACTCATTGTCTTGAACAGCTGAGGTCTTGAGCGCGCATCCCTGGGGTCGTAAGCGAGGTGCGAATAAGAGACGCTATTCGCACATCGTTATTCTTTGGGAAGTGAGGGAGTGGGGGGTGGGGTTAGGGGGGTTCTGGGCAGTGTTGTGGTTGTTGAATTTGGGAGGAGTGTTGGGTGGTAGGTTAAGTAGGTAGGTAGGTAGATGGAATGGCATCAGCGGGAATTTTATATATATTTTTTTTTCTCTCTCTCTCTCTCTCTCTCTCTCTCTCTCTCTCTCTCTCTCTCTCTCTCTCTCTCTCTCTCTCTCTCTCTTTTCTTTCTTTTTTATTTTTTTTATTTTTTTTTTTTTTCATTATTTTTTTCCCCCTTTTTTTTACACGTAACTACAATAGGATTCTTTTATTTATTTTATCTTATGGTCGAGTTATGTGAAATATCTTTTGATGTGGATCTAAAATTAGCATACGTGGGTTAGTAATTATAGGATAACAATTAAAACCGAATTTGCTGGTTCAACCTGGTTATTTTACAAACTATTAATTTCTGTAACTTTCATCTAATACTGCAACATCTTATTCACTAAAATTATGTTCGTATAGTGTGAACTAATGATATTGATATATAAAAACTTTTCTTGAGTAAAGTCTTCCAGTATGAGCTTATAGATATTGTTAAAAAAATAATAGTAATAGTAATTAATGAATAAAGATTAAATGACAGGATTAAATGCGATGGAATCACTAGTTCCGGTTTGTTTACCATTCTTTTGTTTTTTAAAGAAATGTCAACAGAATTTTTGTAAAAAATCAGATGAAATCGTTATTCCCGAAAGCAGAGCCACGTACCCATGGTATCGAGTAGGCTTATAACAAATTACAAGACAAGAACCCGGATGTGAGGAGCTTCAACTGAACCTAAACTGAACCTTTTTACTTCGTCAACGACTCTTGACTCCAGTGTCCGCCACCTGTAGTATGTGTATATCAATCTTTCCCTCGCAATCGAATCTTATTTTTACATCGCCTGACGTCCCTCCGTTCCTCCCGCAGTGGCGCACGGGCGGCGGGCGCTCCCATGACCGCCTGGTGCTGGAGTTCCGCGGAACGAAATGGACCTTCAGCGTCGGTTCCAGCACGAGTCTCACCGACTTGGGCCGCGCCCTCTGGGCCATCTTGCAGAGTGAGGACCCGCTGCAGATCACGGGGCCACAGCAGGGCCACGCCGCCACGCACAGAGGAGGTGAGTTTGCGTTTGTTTTTGTTTTTTGATTTTGGTTTTCTTGTTGGCAGGAAACTTTTTTTTCTTTTCTTTTTTTTCTTTCTTTTCTCTGTTTTTGCCATGGTGCAGAGGGGAAGGAGTGAAATTCTTTGGCCACAACGCACCAGGGAAGGGAAGTTCTGTGGCCAAGGTGCATAGGAGGGTTGAGTTCCTTGGCCATTAGGTCAGTAGTTTTTTTTTCATTGTGGAAGTACTTTAGCCACAAGGCATGGGGGGAGGCAAGTTCTATGGCCACACTGCACAGAAAGAAATCAGTTCCTTGGCCACAGCGTGCAGGAGAGAGAGAGAGAGAGAGAGAGAGAGAGAGAGAGAGAGAGAGAGAGAGAGAGATGGAGAGAGAGAGTGAGAGAGATGGAGAGAGAGAGAGAGAGAGAGGGAGAATCTCCGCGGCCACATAGCGCACGTGAGGGAGTCCGCGGCGCACCAAAGGGAAGAGGCCGCGGGCGCGCGCAGAGGCCGGAGGATGGAGCTCCCACGTAGCTTGATCCGGAGTCTCAGCTTACCCGCCTCATTAAATAAACTCTCCTGTAAATGTTGAAGAACTCCGTAAGGCAATCCATCCCTCGCCATTTCTCGCCCTCTCGCTCTTTCTCTCTCGCTCGCTCGCTCTCTCGCACTCCTCCCTCCTGCCGGATACTGTTGATGTTCCCGAATGCAGTCTCCCTTTCCCTTCGCCCGCGCGTAGGTGAGCTCGTGCGCCGTGGAGCTTGCCTGGGGATGCTCTACTCCGCCGAGCTGGAGCGCCTACAGAAGCTTCTCCATTTCCCCGAGGAGGTGGCGCTACAGCTGACGGAGGTCGAGTACGAGCTGTACTACCGCGTGCCGCCCATCGCCTACGTCAGGCATGTCACCAGCGACCTCCGGCCTCGCCCCCATGCGGACAACCTGCCGGCGACGCCCTCCGTGGCGCACCTCACCAAGAGGTTCCAGGAGGTAAGCTCAGTCTGCCCTTAAGGCCTCGTTTTCTCTGTACGTGTTGTTTCGTGTTCTTTGTTGACAGATATATGAGCTATTTATTTATTTATTTATTTGTACTGGTGTTTTTCCTTGTATCTATTGTACATTCGATGCTATCTGTCTGTCTATCTATCTATCTATCTATCTATCTATATATATGTGTGTGTGTGTGTATATATATATATATATATATATATATATATATATATATATATATATATATATATATATATATATATGTCTATTTATCTCTTTATGTTCGTTATGTATTTACTTATTTATATAAATACCTATTACCTTATATGCCGATCTTTATATAATTTCTTTGTGTATTTCTCTATACATATGTTTCTTTACATACTTGTTTCTTTATAAACCTTCTTTATCTACATTTGTGTTCTTGAATTCACTATTTTGTGCCTTTGCAAATTCTTTCATTACTAACTATAGCGACTAAGAATCAACCCATTAGTATGTATCAACAATTAATTTTCATTTCTTAATCTCGCCAGCAGATCACTATTAAGAATTTGAAATATATTATCTTATAAACGAAAAAAAAACAATAAAAGTCTATTTCTGTCTATTTAGATATCTGCTTGAGGTAGGGTTAAAAAAAATCATATTTAATCGGACAAATGCACGAAATTGTACAAAAAAATACCTTTTACTGTACAATTATAGAGTTTGCAACATCATTATAGTTGCAAGGACGAGAAACTGAATGAAAAAACACCTAAAGTTTTTATTTGAATGCTTTTCGAGAATTCCAGAAATATATATCTAGAAATAAATCGAGAAATATATTACAGGACTGGTTTATTGTAACGAAAATGGGAGTTATTTTGTTATTGTATGCGTTTATTTTTATGCTTGATGTAAAGCAAGTCCATTGTTATTTAAAAAGAAAGAAAAAATAATAGTGTCGTGAAACTTTTTTTGCACCCGGATATGTAAGTTTGTTTGTTTTTTGTTCGTTATCCGTATGTTTCATAAGATCACAATCGTTATTTTGTATTTGTTTATTTGTTTGTTTTTGGGCTATTCCCGGAATACAGTTCTTGCATTAGTTCCGCATAAAAAGTATATATACACATATATATAAATATTTTTTTTCTTTTTTTCTTTTTCTTTTTTTTCGTCCGCGGATCCTATGCAACAGAAGTGTCATTTTTTTTTTTTTTAGATCTTTGTTCACTAACTAGAAAAGGTCAGTTAGATATACCCTTTGATATAAAGATATAAAAGGATATATTTAGAGTGACGCAATTTAAACTGTTTATAATAATAGATGACACAGTGTAAAATATTATTAGTAATAGGTCACTCAACCAAAAGAAAAACTACTTATACTAACATATCATGCGGTAAAAGATATATATATATATATTATAGTAGAAGACCCAGTTTATAGATAGATAGATAAATAGATAGATAGACAGATAGATAGATAGATAAATAAATAAATAAATAGATTTAGATATACATATGTTTAATATATAAATATGTAACAAATGCATCATTAAAAAAAAGTCGAATTAACAGAAGACACGATAAAAGACGAATAAAAAGATAAGGTAAATAAAAGGCGGCGAACTTTTCCCGCCAAAAGGAACGTTTGGAATTCTCAACAATCCGTCAAGTAAACACTAGCTTATCCTTACGTCATTTCTTTTTTTATATATTTATTTCTTTCTTTCTTTTTTTCTTTTTCTTTTTTTCTTTTTTTTTTAAGAATGAAATCGCTTTCCATATCCCAGACGAGTTTTTTAAAATCTTGTTGAAGTGCGCGTGGAGATGCATCTGATGACGTCATCGGTGTCGAGGAGATGCCGCCATTTGATTAAATTTTGACTTTTTCGTTTTTTTCGTTTTTTTTTCGTTGTATATCTCTCTTTCTTTTTTTTATTTTTTTCTTACTTTTCTTCTTCTCTTCGTTCTTCTTTTTAATGAGCCTTTATTGTTATCGTCATTTCATTAATTTCTTAATTCCGTCTATTTCTCCTTCCTTCCTCATGGCTGTTCTTCCTTCCACTCTATCCTTCCTGCCTTTCTTCCCTCCTTCTTCCCTTCGGCTTGTCCTCGTCGTCTTCCTCCTTCCACCTCCTTCCCTCCCTCCTTCCTTCCCTTCCTTCCTTCCCTTCCTTCCTTCCCTCCTTCCTTCCCTCCCTCCTTCCTTCCTTCCCTCCTTCCTTCCTTTCTTCCTCTTCTTCGTCTTCCTCCTTCCCTCATTTCTTCCCTCTCCTTCGCCTTCCTCCCTCCTCCTCCTCCTCCTCCTCCTCCTCCTCCTCCTCCTCCTCCTGACGTCCTCCTCCTCCCTCCCTTCCCCCTCCTCT